TATCAAATTTGGGCTTTTTTCATGAAATTGGAGCTTTTTTTTTATTAAAGAAGAGCTTTTCCCGTAAAACGGAGGTGCTTAGAACTTTTTTTAAATTTATTTCCGAATCAGAAAAAATTTTGGCGAAATTTGAAAAAATTAACAATTTTTTACAGTTGAATATCAAATTTAGTCTTTTGTTCATCAAATTGGAGCTTTTTCAGTAAAACGAAGGTGCTCATAACTTTTTTTGAATGTATTTCCGATTCAGAAAAAATTTTCGTCTTGAAAAACGACGTTGGTCTTGTAATTTTATTTCCCAATTTTTTTAGTCGAATATCAAATTTGGGTTTTTTTCAATAAATTGGTCCTTTTTTATTAAAGAATACCTTTTTCTGAAACACATAGGTACTCAGAACATTTTTACAATTTATTCATTTCCAATTCAAAAAAAAATTTTGGTAAAATTTGATAAAATTAACAATTTTTACAGTTGAATATCAAATTTGGTCATTTTTCATCAAATTGGAGCTTTTTTTTATTAAACAAGAGCTTTTTCCGTAAAACGGAGGTGCTCAGATCTTTTTTAGAATTTATTTCCGATTAAAAAAAAATGTGTGTGTTGAAAAACGACGCTAGTCTTGTAATTTTATTTACACCATTTTTTGAGTCGAATATCAAATTTAGGCTTTTTTTTACCAAATTGAAGCTTTTTTTTATTAAAAAAGAACTTTTTTCGAAAGACGGAGGTGCTTAGAACTTTTTTAAAATTTATTTCCGATTTAGAAAAAATTTGTATTCTGATAAACTCTGTCAAGGAAATAATGTAAATTTTTCTCATTTCAAACCGATTAAAACCTTCATAACTCGAAAGTTTGTACTTTGCCCCACCCCAGAACTGCCAGATGTACATTTTTACACTCGCGTAGATGTAAACTTTCGTTTTATAAAGGTTTTAATCGTATGAAATAAAAATGTAAGTTATTTTTCACCTATTGACCCATTTGCCGCATCTTCGAAGGGCTGCCAGACGTACTTTGCCCCACCCCACGACAGCTAGACTTGTATTTTTACACTTATTTGAATGTAAACTTTCGATTTCTAAAGGTTTTAATCGGTATGAAATGAGAAAAAAATTTTCGATTTTTTTATGTGTTTAACCCTTTGCCAGACGTACTTTACCCCACCCCAGAACTGCCAGACGCACATTTTTACACTCGTGTAGGTGTAAACTTTCGAGTTATGAAGGTTTTAATCGGTATGAAATGAGAAAATTTTACATTATTTTTCACCTATTCGCCCCCTGCCCCAGCACCGGCCTGCCAGACGTGGGTTTCTGTTATTTATATGTCTTCAGTAATCTATACTCAAATTTTCAGCCGGTATGAAATGAGATAGTTGTTTTGGTCGCTAGCTCCCGGACTAATAGTTTCGTAATTAAACACACGCTTCAGAAGTAATAATAAATTTCGACAGCTGAAAATAATTGAAAATTAAAAATTCCCATTACAATGACGTATATGAAGTACACCTGCCGGTATATATACAATATATGTAATATATGTGAGTTTGTTAATGTCCTCGGAATTGATTCAATGTTGATTTGTTTATTCCCAGAGAGCAATTTGGATGAGGAAAAGAACAGTTGTTTAATTAGCGGTACAGGCTACTCTCGGGAGAGTGCTTCATTGAAAGGAGTATCTCCGCACCCTAGTAATCATGTCTAATGAGCTCATTCCGTGCTGTCGCCGTGTCGGACGTCCACACTTTGAGGTATTTTATATCACCTCAACCACCATCATCAGTCTCTTCTTCTCCTAATTTTATCGGTTTTTACGCCTTTGATGTCTAGCGTTTTGTAACCTTGGGCTAAATTGACAATCGAAATTCCAAAAACTTTCTTTTCGCAATAAGGAGTCTGCGCCGGCTCTTTATTTTCATTTCTTCATTTTCAACCGCAAGTAAGATGGATTTCTTTATTATATGTAGGTACATATAAAGCGCAAAGCAATTTGAGAATTACTATCATAATTTAAATTTTTCTTTTTACAATTTTAAAGAAGAAATATATTTTTTGTTCCTTTTTAAGTAAACTTTTTTAATATTTTTTTAAATTGGTGATACTTTTTTAATTAATTATCCGTTTTAATTAAATTTTCGCATTAAATTCGAGGAATATTTCAGGAATATTTTACGGAAATATTATATAAAAATTGAGGGAATTTTTCATTTTATCGATCAATAGGAATATTACAGGGGATCTTAGAAATATTTTTTACTGATAATGTGGAAATTTTCCACGAAATTTTTTCCGAAAATTTTTTAATCTTTTCAATTAATCATTAATTAATTCGTTCATTAAAGTTTCGGAATATTCCAGGAATATTTTAAGGAAATTTTTTAATACTTGAGGGAGTATTTAATTTAATTATAATATTCCAGCAATATTATTATATATTGAATAGGTGCATTGAATTATTTATCAGCTTATTAAATTCCAGGAATATGTCAGGAATATTCTACGGAAGTGATTTTTAAAAATTAAGGAAACTTAACATTTTATTGATAAATAGGAATACTCTAGGAGATTTTAGGAATTTTTTTGAAATATTGGGGGAATTTTTCATTTTATTGATAAAATGTAATATTTTAGAGGATTTTAGGAATATTTTCTAATAAAAATTTAAAAATATTTCGCAGCATATTTTGGAATGTTAAGATTTAGAAATTTAAGGAACATTAATAATTTTAAGAAATATTTTAATGCAATTTAAAAATATTTCTCACTAAAATCATTAGGAATATATTTCACAAAAATATTTTCGTCATATATTGAATTTAGAAATTTTAAGAAATATTTCAAATTTAAGACAACAGTCTTCAAGAAATTTTAAGAAATATTTTTCTTTTATATGCAAACATAAGTATTTTTTTGGATAAAATTTTGTTTAATTATTTAATTAATTTAACATTTGATAAAAAAACACTTTTTTAATAAAAATATAAATATTCCACTCTAAATACAAATATTCCATACATTTTGAAATATTTGTAACTAAATTTAATTTTCATAAAAAAATAGTTTTTAACAAAAAATATAAAAATTCCACGATAAATATACGAATATTCCATATATTTTTATTTATATAACTACAATTACAGAAATATTCAAAAAAAATTCTGAATCTTGCATTCAGTTATTTAAGTAATATTTCAAATTTTAGAAAACAATCTTTGAGAACCCTTTCGCAATCATATTTTTATTTTATGCAAATAGAAATATTTTTTTGCATGCAAAATACCTATAAATATTTCATTAGAATTTTAGGAATATTTTATTAACTATAATTTGTATTATAAAATGTACAAATATTCCATTCAGGATGTTCAGGAATATTGAAACAAAAATAATTCGAAATAATTTAAGAATATTTCTTTAAAATTTCTATTTTAGAAAAAAAAGAATATTCCTTTAGAAATAACCCATTAAAATTGTGGAAAATATTCCAAAATTTTTTTGGAGAATTTTTCTTATTTGTTTATTTATTTATTATTTATTAATTTAACATTAATTTTTTATTTATTTATTGTTTTACTATCCATTTATTATTTATTTATGCATTCATTATTTGTTAATTTATCATTTATTTATTACTTAGGTATTTATTTATTATTTTCTACATGAATAGCATAAAAATAATCTATTAAAATTTTGAAAATTATGCAGATTTTTTTTCAAGTTATGAAAGTGAAAAAAATAATTAACTGGATTTTCCACAGGAATTAAGATATTCAAAAATTCAAATTCAAATCTTCTTGAAATTCAAAAATTTATGAGAATATACAGTATGAAAACCTTCCACGTCAGTCATATCCCATGAGTGGGAGTGAGACAGACTTATGCGATTCCCATACTTTCCTATGACTGACGGATAGCTTTTCTTACTGTATAAGACATGAAGAAAGTGAACGAGTCTTCGACTCGGAGTGATCACTTTCTTCATGTTTTTGTAATAATTAAAGATGACCGAGAGATAAAATTATTCTTATATATTATAAGAATATTGTTACTGTAACTTCATCAAAATTATTTTCATCATTTTAAGGTCATGTTATACAGTGTAAAGTTTTTCCATAGTCAAGTATATGGGGCACGTGACCACTGAATAACATATTTCAATTATTATTTTCTAGAATTTTAAATTATTTTTTACGAAAATAATAATTGAATTCCTTAAAAAAAATTTATTATTTATGAAAATAATTAAATGTCTGCATATACAATTTTATTAAAATTTGTTTTAAATAATTGAATTCTTTTTGGGAAATTTTATTAAAATAGTAGAAATTGAAAATAATTGAAATTAGAAAAATTTTTGAAACTAATTGAAATTAGGATAAGAATTTTGTTGATATTTATGAAAATAATTGAACTTTGGAGAAGAATTTTGTTATTTATGAAGATAATTGGGATTTTGACGAGAATTTTTTTTCAAATTTGGAACATTACATAGTTGAATTTTATAAGAAGAATTTTATTTATTTTTTTCTAAATAATTGAATTTCTGCAATTATTTACAATTCCTCCAAAATCAAATTTTTTTTAGTGTTTTCAACAAAAATTTAAATTAGAAAATTTTTAAAATTGCTAATTTTATTTAAAAAAGGGAGCAAGAAGTTAGCCGCGGGAATTTTTGCTAGTTTGATGATTTATAATTTATTTATTATTTAGGTATTCATTTATTATTGTTTATTTATTAATTTATTATTTTGTAATTTATTTATTATTTAGGTATTTATTTATTACTTTCTATACGAATAGCATAAGTAATCTATTAGAATATTTTGAAAATTGTAGAAATTTTTTTTCCACGAGTTAGGAATGTGAAAAAAGAAAATTGTTTTGCATCTTTGTGTTTGGAAGGAGTTTTAAAAAAGGGAGAAAAGAAAATTGTTCATTAGAAGCGTGAGCGCGAGTATAATAGTGAATGGACATGAATCGAAGTATCGGGGATACATACCAAAAGAACAGTGGCTACCTTCCAATTAGGGGCCTCTCTTTTAAGTAATCATTCTGTCCTTCTTAAACTCAATCTTGACTTAACCGCGGTGTCTTCCTCTTTCTCTTGTATAAATTAGTCCCAACCGCCACATAATGGCGTGTCGATGCGCTACTGTCCCCAGATAGCGTCGCCTTTTTCGCTTTTTCTCTCGTGCGCAGCCACCTTTCCTCCAACCCGCGCCATTCCCTTTCCTATATATTGCCACTCCTCTCTCTTTTTCTCTATTTCTCTCTCTCTCTCTCTCTCTCTTTCCCTCTTATTCTCTCTTTCACTCTTCTTCTTCCTTTCTCTCTCCTTCTATCTTCTTTATCTCTCTCTTTCCCTTTTCTTCACCCTTTTTCTCTCTCTCTCTCTTTCTCTCTTTCTTCCTCTTTCTCTCTCTTTCGACTTCCCCCTATATCTCTTTGTCTCTCATTTTACCTCTCCCTCCATCATCTTGTTAAACCCTTTCACTATATCTTCTTTCTTCATGTTTAGCTACCATAGTCTCCCTGCCTTCCCCCCTCTCTCGTTTTACCGTGCAGTCGTCAGTCTGGGCCGCTTAATTTACGACCAATTAATTTGGATAAACTGAATGGGGTCCCTATTTTTGATGCACGCGTTAACTGTGGATTTTTTTTCAGTGAAACCTCCCCCTTTCTCCCCCCCTTGTTTGATTATCCTTTACCCCCTTTTTTTGACCTACAGGTCTAGTAGTTGTTTCTATTTATTTATTCTTTTTTTCGGCGGCACATTCTGACTGCTAATATGAATCTCTTGTTATTCAATGATTTGCATATATTTTTTTAAAGTCTATAGAAGAAGAAAAAATGTAAAATAAAATTCAAATTATACTATATGATGACATTGAATTTTTGTAAAATTAGTTTTTTTAATGTGGATGACGAATTTCTTATATAATATTCTCAATTGAGAATTCAAAATCGAAATAAAAAATGTTGAAAAGAAAAATAACATTTTCTATTTGTACACACTAAAAAAAAAGTTTTACTTTTAGCCTGTTTTCGAGGCTGAATTTAAGGTGTAAACGGAGTCAGCCCCATTAAACAAGGACAGACTTATGTGAAATACATGGGCTGAATTTAAGGTGTAAACGGAGTCAGACTTTTTTTTTCCTGTGTATTTTTTGGAATGTTTCTATTTTTATTTATAGGAATGTTACTATTTCAATTATGGAATATTTCAATTTAAGGAATGTTTTATATTTCCATGACTATAAAAAATACTAATTTTCGTAAAAATACTTAGGGAATGTTTTGAATTTTTTCAAGATTTTATGGGGAATTATTCGAAAAATATTCCGTCAAAATATGTTAAAAATATATTCCCTTATATTATTGCAAAAATTTGATATTTTTAATATTCCAGCATTATTCCATTATAAATTTTCGTACAAAAAAGTATTTTTTGGAATACTACTAAATAAAATAAAATAAAAATATTCCAAGGCAAACAACCTCTTGGAATATTGTATCGATATTTTATATTTTTTTCAAAAAATTTGGCAACGTATTTTACAGAAAAATTCCTTTAAATTTTCTGAAAGAAAATTGTAGAATACTATACCAGAGCATTTTTTTGGAATATTTCCTTGAAATACTAAAAAATTACTGAGAAATCAGTACTAAATGGTTCATATAAAATATGATGTAAATATCACAGTGAGAATTTGAATTGAAATCCATTAAAATATTGAAAAATAATTATCGAATACTACTAGAAATTTTTCATTGGAATATTTTATTGGAATAGCAAAAAATTATTGTAAACAAGAAATAAAAATAGGGATAATAATAGGGAATAAAATAAAATAGGGGATAATACGTTAAATATTTGCAGAAATATTCAATTGAAATTTCATCAAAAAATTATGGAACAGTGCTAATAGATTCTTTGGAATATTTCATTGGAATACTAAAAAATTTCTTTAATAAACACTACTACATTGATTGCAGAAATTCAATTATTTTCAAAAGTAATAAAATTCTTCGCAAAAATTTAATTCTGTTTAAAAAATTATTAAAAATTCTCGTCAAAATTTCAATTATCTTTATAAATAATAAAATTCTTCTCCAAAATTCAATTATTTTCAAAAATTTTAAAAAAATTTTCTGAAAGAATTTCAATTATTTAAAAAAAATTTAATAAATTCAGTTATTTTAAAAAGTATATAAAATTCTTCGCAGAAATTCAATCAAGTTCAAAAATTTATAAAGATTCTCGTCAAAAATTGGATTATCTTTTATAAATAAGAAAATAATTCTGCAAAATTCAATTATTTTCAAAACATTTTTATTCTTCCATGAAATTCAATTAAAATTGTATTGAAAATTATTTAATCGTCATAAAGAATTGTATCAAAATTCTTAAGAATAATTGAATTTTTTTGAAAAATTTTAGTAAAATTTTTAAAATAATTGAATCTTATCGAGAAATTTTTTAAAAATTGTATTAAGAATTCCTGAATTCTTACGAAAAAGTTTTATCAAAACTTTTGAGAATATTTAAATTTCTGAGAAAATTTTGATATTTATAAGACTAATTATTAAATACTTGCCAAGAATTTTATATAAAGATTTTTCTAAATAAATGAATTTCTGAAAAGATTTTTATTATTCTAACGAAAATATTTAAATTCTTACGGAAAATTTTATTAAAATTTGTAAAAGTAATTAAATATCTGCAAAGAATTTTGTTATTTTTTATTTATGCCAAGAATTTTATTAAAATTGTTGAAAGTAATTTAATTTCTGCAAATTTTTCACGGGAATTTAATTATTTTTGAAAATTTTAATGAAATTCTTTAGAAAAGTTCAATTATTATTTTCATTAATAACAAAACTCATTCGTAGGATTTCAATTATTTGTAATACAATTTTAATCGAGTTCCACGAAAAATGTAATTATTTTTAATGTAATTATTCTTAAAAATTTTATTAAAAATCGTCAAAAGAATTCAATTATTTAAAAATATGTTGATAAAATTCCTTATGAAAATTGAATTTTAAGAAATATTCAATTGTTCAATAAATTATTTATTTTGTATTTAAATAATTAAATTCTAGTAGAATTTTCTAATAAAAATTGATTTAAAAATGAATTTCAGTTCAAATTTTAGATAATAATTGAATATTAGAAGCAACATAACGTGAATTTTTAGAAATAATTGAATTTTGAAATTACTTTTTTTGAAAAACTATGTATAATTGAATTTTTTTTATATTATTTAAAGTTTTTATTTTCTAATATATATTTAATTGAAAAATTTACGAATAATTGAAAATTGTAAAATGGAATATTGTAAATAAATGGATTTTGAAAATTGTCGAAGAACTTTTTCGAAAATTAATTGATTTAAAGAAAAGTTTTATTGAAAAATTCTTAACCTATACGGTTCGTCCCGAGTATACTCGGAGTAACTAAATATTTTATAACTCGTCAACAATGCATCGGAATTACATGATCTAAAGTGGAAATTAATGCTAATGCTCTAAGCTTTAAAAAAATATTTGTTATCAATAATAAAAAAAAGTTTTATCAAAGTTACATAACCTTAAATGTTAGTTAAACAAGCAAGTTTTTTAATAAGTAGATAATGTGCATTTAATAAAAAAGTTTATGAAATCACCTTATGAAAATCATTACTCGGGAGGTTTTTGGGGTCGCTGATTACGAATCTGGCATGAGATTTTCAAAATTCAAAATGTCGGATCCAATATGGCGGACATTTTTCAAAAAAATTTTATTTTTAATCAAAAATTTTTTTATTATTATCTGCCATATTGGATCCGCCATTTTGAATTTTGAAAATATGATGCAAAGTTCGTAATCAGTGACTCCGAAAACTATTAAAGCATGTTGAGATATACATTTTTCTATGTGGGGTAAATTGAACCATATTTTGGTACAGATTTCTATAAAATTTGTCATAGATATCAAATGTAAAATTTAATTACACAATATAATATAAAGTTGAAAAATATTATTTCACGAATTTAAATTCTTTCTTATTAAAAAATCACTAAAATTTAGTAGAATTCATGTAGAAATTCTTTATAGAATAATTCTAGTGAAATTCTGTAGAATATTCACTAGAATTCATATAGAATGATTCTAGTGATATATTCTATAGAACTTTTTCAGCTGGGCAGCCAAAATGAAAGTAATTAAACACAGTTTTGTAAAAAAGGGGTTCATCCCCTTTTACAGAAACGGTTTTAAATTAAAAGTCATACTATATACAAAAACTCAATTAGTACGATCGACAAATTAATTCCGTATATATAATACAAACTTCCCCAAAAGATGACGTTATTCAAAAAAGCATATTTCCCACAGACTTCTAATTAAGTGAAATATTGATTCACTGCGTATTTAAGTTGTATTCTTTTATTCATTTTATTTTCCTCAGAAACACCCTGCCTGTGTATACATATATATAAAGTCATACATTTTTATATCAGCGTATATAACTAAAATCGAGTACTACACTGAATCACGAAAGTATAATATACACTCTACTCTTTCTTGTGTGCGCGCATCACTTTAAAAAGTCATCACTGTCGAATCGTGTGAACGTTACCTGAACCTGACGAATCTCTGATAACAAAAAATATCATCTCACACGTAGAAGGAAGAGTTTGGATGTATCTCAGCGGCGTTTAAGAGATCCTGCCTTGCATTTAACGACCTTTCGTCGAACTCGCAAAGCTACTGGCTTCTCTTGTGAGTATATATATATATATGTTTATATAAAGAGAGAAGTGCACAGCGATGAGTTTTCAAAGCTCCCTGTGTTCAATGTCGCGGCGGCTATTTGGTATTCTGCGCTCGTACCCTCGCATAATTGGCCGCCAACTACCGACGCTCCTCCGGGTATCGCAAAGACAAGAAATTATTCTTTAATTAATTGTCAGCGTTCGTATGTGGCCACCGTTCACTCTCGTATTTGTGTTTATACATTGCGATTATGTGTTTGCCGTTTAACTGTTAAAAGCTATACGTATATGTATATATTTTTCACAAATATATTCCCATAATAAATATATTATGCGCTACAAGCGAAACATTTCCGAAAGTTGTAAAATTTTATAATATTTCACAAGAAATTAGTAACGAAAATATTTTTCATTCATTTTGCGGAACTTATTGTGGAGAAATAACTTAAATATTCCATTCGTATTCCTTGAATATTTTTATTCATTTTTCACGTTATATTTCTGCAATATTCTATTCATTATCCATTAGTGTTCTTGGAATA